TTTCCCCGGGGGAGGTGCCAACGCGCGCGTCCAAGCATACGCGCTCACGCTTCCATGTGAATGTCCACCCGATCATGGCATCCGGGACAATCTCCACCCTTGGCAGCTGCCTTGTGCCTGTTTTGCGAACAGCGATGGATGGTGATTACTCATCACGTGACCGTCATGGTGTTATCTCCATTTTTTTTTTTTTCCTCTCGATGATGACACACTTCACCCATGCCGGTGTGGAAGTGATCAACCCCCGCCTCCAACACTGCGCCGCTTCCCATCGGCGTCGTCTTGGTCATCTCCATTTTTCATTGCAACGTTGGAAGTGACAACCCCCCGCCCTGGAAGTGATATCCCCCCGTCTCCAACAATTCGCCGTTACCCGTCGGCGGTTTCCTTACGGCAGGGCAAGAGCGGAAGGGAAGAGCATGGGCACGAGAAGCCGCAGCCGCCGCAGCAGCGGGAACAGCAGCAACCGGGTCTCCGCAAGAGCTGCGACTATTGCGCAAGGATGAAGAGGGCCTGCGGTAAGCTAGGACATCGCGCAAAGCCTACCTATCGTGGCCGGCCGCTCGATATCGAAGAGCATGGGCACGAGAAGCCGCAGGGGCAGCAGCAGCAGCAGCTCTACCTCAACATGTACTCCTGTAGCTCCAAGGCCTCCTGCCCATTAACCAAAATAATTCGCTGCGTTGTTGTACAGAGAACCCTGGCGTCTCACCATCCTGAAGTTGGCTATCCTTCATCAGGCGCTTTGTTGGAACTGTTCTTGCTTGCTTGCTCCTCCGCCGTGTGCTGTTTTTGAAAATACACATACAACCTGCGCGTTTGAGATAAAACCACAGCAGTGTTTGAACACCAGAACCATGGATAGGAAAGGGTGGCGGGGTCCCCCCCCCCCCTTTTTTTTTTCCAGACACGTTATACTAAAACCATATGCATTTTTTATTTGGTTGTCGTTCCTCTTTTTTTCACACCGACCAATCACACGGGGCGGGGACCGTTTCCCCGGTGACAACAGACGGGGGCTCCCCCTGCGCCCTGTGCAGTCGGAGAGGTAAGGTCTGCGAGAGGCGGCTGCGGCGCAAGAGCGGACCGGCCAAGGGCGCCAAGTACGCGCCCCGCAGGAGGAAGTTCGATAGCGAGGCCGCCGCCCTAGCTGAGGAGGAAGCCGCGGCGGCGGCGGAGGCGGCGGCAACCGTTGCCTCCTTGAAGGACAAGGAGAGAAACAGGGGCGGGTTCAACAAGTGCGGCGGTGGCGGCGGCAGGTACGGTGATGCTCTCGGCAGCAGCGGGGTTAGCAGGAGCAGCAGCGGCGGCGGCGGCAGCGGCGGCAGCGGCGGCAGCGGCGGCAGCGGCGGCGGCAGCGGCGGGGGGGGTGCTGCTGCTGCTGTGGCGTTGGCGACGAAACCTGTTCGGCGAATCCAAGGAAGCAAGAGGCGCGAAGAGAACGACCGACCGCCTTCGGGCGGCGGAGGCAGTCCCTCGGCTACGACGGCGACGGCGACACCGCCGCCCGCGGGGAGGCCGCCCGTGCTCAAGACAGAAGAAGCGCCGTCCACGTCGCAGCCGCAGTCGCAGTCGCAGCCGCAGTCGCAGCCGCAGCTGCAGCAGCGGAACCAAGAGCATTGGAGGAAGCCGGGGAGGGGTGAGAAACGGGGATCCAGTTGCTCGGACGACCGCAGCAGCACCAGCAGCACCAGCGGGGGCTCCGCAGAATCTCCATCGTGGTCCCGAGGGGTTCCGCGGAAGCGGCGCTTCCCTTCGAAGGGGTGGGCCCGGGCGGCGGGTAGGGGGGGGGATGAGCGGGCCCCCGCGTCGCCCTCTGGCGACACCTGCGGTCGAACCTGGCAGACGAGTGGCGGGGAAGAGCGGGCGTCCGGTGGTGTGGGCGTCGGCGCCTGCGGCGGCGGCAGGGAAGTCGGCCGGGAAAGCTCGAGGCGGAACGGAAGCAGCAGCAGCAGCAGCAACAGCAACAGCGACAGCAGCGAAGCTCCGTCTTACTCTGCCGCCGCTGCCGCCCCTGTCTCCTGCTACAACAACGTTCCAGCGGAGGATCTCCGTCCGACCGCCGGTGGAAGTCGTCCCTACAGCCCAAAGGACGTCGCCCGTGTCCCCCGCAGAGAGGAGGGAGCAGAAGAAGAGGAAGAGGAAGCGCGGGGGGTGTCGCAGCGAAACCAGAGTGTTGATCGTCACCATCCCCCGGAGCGGCAGGCGACCAGGGGCGGCGACGTCGAGACCACGACGAGATCACCGTCATCGGGCACGGGTTGGACAGCAGCAGCAGCAGCAGCAGCTGCGGCAACAGCAGCGACACGAACAACAACGCGGTCACCAGCGGCGGTGGCGGGGAAAGCCGTGGAGCAGGCCGGCCGCCGCTGCCGGCCCTCATACCCCAAGCAGGAGGTGCGCGACGACATGGACTACACGGCCGGCCGAGTTGTATCGGTCTCCCCCTTGAAGAAGGCGGTGACTCGGGAGGGCGGTGACGAGGAGGGACCGGACCACCAGGGGGG